AAGTTACTTGATACGTATTTATTACAATTAATTATTTATGATTACAAATAACAATGCTGTTTAATAACTATGCTGTTTACACCTTGCTGTGTAAATGAAGCTTCTTATTACAGGAAAAATGTCACAACAATAAATAACCTTCATCTACTTTTTTTTTCCTGGAGAATATGGTATGATCCCTTTGTGAACTCTAGGGTTATGTTTGGGGGGGGTTATTTTTGCTTTTGGGGGGGTGTTTCTTTAACTTACGAGGAAGGAAGAGCTGCAGTGCTTGGGCTGTAGCTCAAATGGCCTTTAATTAAAGCTTTTCTAATCATCGTTACTTCCTTGTGCTTTACATGAACTTGACATTGTCTGTAATAGGCTTGTTTGTCAAAGCAAAGATTGGTTTGTGATTTCTCTTTTTTAATATATTCATTCAGAATGTAAAAAAAAAAAAAATATACTGAACGATGGAAACCTGCCCGCGTGGAGTCGTCGTCGTGGTCTGGTGCGTCCATCCGCTACGACCTCCCTCCCCGCTGGGCTCTGCGGGGCCAGGAGCGGCTGCCCTTTAGGGATGGCCCTTGAGCCGGAGCCTGTGTCCTCCCTGGGGCTGCAAGGACAAAGTCCCGGCTTTGCCAGGGGCTAGGCGCAGGTTAGCCGCTTTTCAGTCCCCTTTAGTGGGTTATTACACTGTCATTCGTATTTACTTGCAACAGGAATGTAAATATTTTGTACAAAAGGGAAAGCAAGTAAAATGGTTGCTATTTCTCTTAAAGGAGAATATTTCTCTTGCTTGAGAAATAATGCAGACTGCCACCTCAGTTTAGCTTAGTCGTTTTAGTCATTCTTCATAGCACCAGGGTTTGAACCAAGGCATCCTATTAACATTCACAGAGCAGAAGAGGCAGCTGAGGTTCCCTTGTCAGTTATCGTGCCAGAATCGTCCCCAGAAAGGCCTTCCCTTTTTAATATCTTTATTCTGCTTTTCTTGTATTAATAAGCGCTTATAGTTGGTGGAGGCATCCTTAAAAGTCTTTATTTTAGAACCAAGATCCCAGTGATCCTGCCCTTGTTGGGGCTTGTGTGACCCTCCTAGCAGCAGGGCTGGGGTGAGGAGCCCCCTTCCCAGTAGCTCCAGGGCACTGATGATCTTGGATAAGGAGCCTTGGAGCAGGAGCCATTCCCTCTGCTCCTCCTAGAGCCCCCAGGGCACTGGCAAATGCAGCAGAGTTCAGTGAAAACAAGGTCCCAAGGAGGGGAGTTAGTGAAGGGTGATGCTGCTGACCGGGCCCTTGATCCCTGGGGATAAGCTCATCCTCAGTGTAGGGGTGAGGGGGACTTTGTGTCAGGTCCTGTAACAGACTTCTCCTTCACAAGGGTTCAGGATATCATTAGATAAATTTTATTACAAGGAGTTTAAAAAGCATGAACAAATACAGCCTTCAAAAGCCTTTCAAGCCTTTCACCAAGCACAACCCCCCCATTAGAGCTCAGCCACGGAGCCTCAGGCTTTGCGTGGCCCGGGCAGAGCTGCAGGTACAAGATGAGGTGGTAGCAGGTCCCATTACTGCTCCCTTCAGCTACTGGCTGCCCTTGAGACAGTTTGAGCCAAACCCCAGGCTCCTAATTTGTACAGAGGACTCTGGCACCCGCTGAGGAAGGTGCAAGGACTGGCTCCTTCCAGGGCAGCCTTGGCCAAGAGCTTCAGTGTTTCACCATGGTGCTGCCTTCAGTTAGGGAGCCCATGAGCAGCAGGGAACAACCTGAACAATCAGTGCATCACCAACAACCTCTGGCTGTCACAAAAAGCCAGTGTGGAACGTGTGCTTTCCCAATAGGGTATTTGCCGAGGGGGGATGTTGCTAGGATAGATCACTGAAGTAAAAACCTGTAGGATACTCTCACAAATTAAAAATACATATAAAATGATCACTGCCTATAAAAATGGAAATCGATAGAAAGTCTTCAATGCCAGGGCAATACAGCCATTACTTGCGCTCAGGTTAAGTAGCGTAGTGCATAGTAGGAGTGCGTGGAGTGCTGCATACACATTTCCAACGTGGCAGATCATTCAGCCTCTGGATAATCAGACTCCAGGCTCTGGGGTTTGGCCTAGAGGGAAGGAAAAAAGATGTTTTAAGAATGTTTGATAAAAAGCCTTTGGTGCAAAACCCCTCTGAAGCATCAAGGACTCGAGCTCTTCATCCCAGCAAAGCCCATGCAGAAACACGTGCCTGGTGCCCACCCGGCTCCCACAGAGCATGACAAGAGGCAGGAACTCGTTAGAACAAGAGGCCTCTCTCGTCAGCCAGGCACACGGGATGGGCCCAGGGTGCAGCGAGCAAAGCTGGAGCCCTTTAGCACATTGCATGTTACAACATTTCCACGTTCGCTCCCATGTGAGGGCTGGAAGAGAAACGGGGTGGTTGAACACTCTGAAACGGAGCCGTTGAGCACACGGAGCAAAGCGCCCAGCCCGCCCCCGCCCTGGCTGCTTTACCTTCATGTTCCTGCTCCTGAGGCTGCCTGGAACACCCGGCGTCCTTCCTCCTCCGTTGCCCAGGCTGTAGAAGAACACAGAAGCTTTCAGATCAAGCAAACCTACGGCAACCTGCTGCTTTTACTGCTCAATAACCACAAGCCGCGGAGACTGGGAGGATCTACAAGCCCTTTATTCTCCCCTTGGATTCTAACCCAGATAATTTTGCAGCAAAAGAGCCCGGTCCTTTATTCAGGTTGCCTTTATGTGCTTCAATAATCCACATGCACTGCAGGAAACGCAGCTGATTCAGACTCCATGCAATGCAAGCTGGATAAAGCAGCAAGGGAAGGAGGTGATGAGCCCCATGGGCACCACTAAGATCTTCACATTTCATTCTAGGTTTAGGTGGTGTAAAGCAAAAGCTGTTTCAGCATTACTGAGGTCTCTGGAAAAAAAAAATAAGCAGCATGCACTATCATCCCCTGTTTAGGCTCCAAGTGATCTTGTTGTCCACTCCATTTTCATATATGGATAGAACCAACTTTCCTGTTTGAGAATGACAGGCAACAACTGAATTAAACTGAGCGAAGCCCTTCCAGCCACAACTATCAGCAAAGCTGAATTTGCACCGTAGGGAAACCAGGCAGAAGACCAGGATTTGTCACCGTTTCTGCTGCTGGGTTGTCACTGTCCAAAGATGGGAATGTGCCAGCTCCAAGACTGTCCCCCCACTCCCAGCAGAGCGGATCTTACAGGGCTACTACAGCACCCAGGACGGGCACAGCCTGGCTGCTCAGATCCGCAGCTCGTGTTCAGGCGCTCGCCCAGCCCTCACCTGCGCTGCGCTGGAGACGCTCTCGAGAAGCCGGAGGTGAGACTGTCCCCGTGGAAGCTCTGCGGCGGCCGCGCGCGCGGCGGCGGGGCAGCCCAGCGGGGCGCCCCTGGCCCCGGCACCTGCTGACCTGGCCCCTCGCGCGGGGCCGCTCAGCCTCTGCGGCCTGAAGCCATCTGCGCACCGAGGAGAAACGGCTCCTGCGGGGACAAGAGAGCGCGTTGGGAGCAGCGAACGCAGCGGGAGATGTTAGAGACTATTCAGATCCTTGTAACAAAACTAGACCCTGTTTCCATCCCCGCTGCATGGCATTTCATAATCAAGACTTTCAGTTGGGTGTCAGTGATTTAATCTTTCTCACGTAAATGTGGAACGACAGTAGCTGCCCTGGAGAAGGAACAGAATAACAACGTCCATCCCATCCAGGATGCCAACCAAGAACAGGGTGCCCGAGGCCGCGTCCTGCCGCACCTCCGTGCCGGGGTCGCCTCCCGGCCAGCTCCGGCGAGTCCCTCCTCTCCGCGCTGTCCTGAGCGGACGGCGGCTGCTGCGACAGCAAAGGCTCCACCACGTTGGCTGTTTCTGGGCGCAAATCACACTGGTCCTAAAGCAAAGGATAAGTGTGAGCATTTGAGTGAAGTTCATTCAATTTATTCCTAGGAAAACACTGCAAAGCATCCGCCCTCTAAACCTTGTAGCTGGCAGTGCTGTGGCTGTAGAAGAGGCACTAATGGCTTGTTGACACCCACGTTTTCTCTTGCACAAAACAGAACTGAGGCTCCATCCATCCCACTGAACAGGACACACAATGTTGTGTCTACCAGTGAGCCTAGGACCGTGCTCTGATCTTCTGCACTCTGTTTCTCACTCCTAAACATGACCCTCAAAGCCAACCCCAAGCGTACAGCAAGCGGCCTGAAGTGCTGCTCCTGTAATCCTGATCAAGCTCCGGGTAACAATTCTTTACCAGTGCCACTGTGAACTGGGAGAGAGAAGATTCCTTCCCTTTCTGAGCTACCAGGAGCACTACTTGGAACACAAAATGTTAAACACCCCATGTCCTTTTGCTGCAGACAGTCTCTACCTTGTAGCAACTCAACTCCAGTCACTAATTCTTAAGTCCTGACCATCATACAAAAACTTCACCAAAAATATTAAAAGCCTCTGGATAAGGCAGTGCTTGGATTCTGCATTTCCAGAAACCATTAGACGGGGCGCAGTCAAGGGGGAAGCCTTGGAAGAGTCAACTGGAGTGGAAGGCTCTAGAGTCAACTAGAGGTAGAATTAGTACCTGGTGATGAAAGAGAATTTCCTCTTCCAACTGGATGCCACAGAATTCGCATGGAATCATAATGTTTTCTTCTGCCTGGACAGCTCGGGGCCGGACTCTCCTGCTTATGGGCCCAAAATCACGCAAATCATCGTATTTTCGGGGCTTTGGAGAAGAACTTCTTTTACTGAATGATGCAAAGGCAATTGCTGGATTACAACCTGTCTGTTAGGCAAGCAACACAGGAAGATTAGCTATGCTGCTCAGCACAAATGGCCTTTTAAAAATCACACTGTGGAAAGAAACACCCGCTGTAGTTCTGACAGTACCACTGAGTGAACACTGCGGTAAGTCACAGTAACAGAAACACATCAGTACTGCAACCCTCTACGTACAATTAAAAAAAAAACAACACTAAACCTGATGAAGAATCAGATCTTCTGCAGGGTAGAGCTCCTCACAGAATTCACACGGCAACATGATCTCATTGCCTGCAGGGAAAGCAGAAGGTTACATCCCCTGCCATAAGGAAGCTGATGCAGTTGGGTCAGTCAGGCTCAATTCCTGAGCACGGGCTCCCGCTCCGCATCCAGGACGCACTCGGAGCCAGGACCGAGGAAAAGCCCCTCTAGTTCCACTTGGCCAACTCCACGCCAGTAAATTCAGGTCATCCAGAATGAGCACAACCTTCCTGGGCCACATACATACAAAAGCCCTTCACCCTTGTAGATAATCCTTCAGTTTTTCCTTTCTAAAATAACCTGCCGCTTTAGGTCTCCCCTCAGATCTTCCCTTCCTACCATGTTCATTCAATGAACAAACACTGTCACCAAAAGTCACTGTCATTTGTTACCAGTTCCTCCCCTCCACAGGCACACACCATTGCATATTGTTTCAAAATATTAAAAGAAATCTCTTCAGAATGACATCAAGTTAGAACTACTCCTGTTTCATATTGAATGGAAAGCACTTTTGCAACCCTAGGATAATATGAACATCTTTTACTTTTTCTAAATGTTTTAAGTTGAGAAGAATTTTAAAATATCAAGGTCAAAGTTCATTAATTACTTTTATTCCTTTTTCCTCTACTGTCTTGCTTTTTTGTTTGTTACCAAAGAGGTTTTATTCATTTAAACACTGGTATTGCTTAGTTTTGAGGGATCAGAAGCTACAACTTAGAAAAGGAAAGAAAAATGCTAGAATATGCTATTCGTGCAGTGCCTAATCTCCTGTGTATTAATTATCTAAAAATGATGTAGAGGGAGCTGTACAGAACACAATCTGGGCATTTCTAAAAAGAAAGAAATCTCCAGTCTTGGCTCCAATGTGGTCTTTCCCTCTTGCTCTAAACTCGAAGGAGGGATTAAAATAAAAAGTCAGTGTTCATACTTACTTTTTCTGGGGTCAGAGGTGGTAAAGGACTCTCGAGAATCACAAGAGACGTTGGTCTTGTCCCCGCCGCGGCGGCGGGCGGCGGGCAGGGGCTCGTGGGGGTGGCAGCTCTTCCAGGAGTCGCTGTGCGTTTCGGCTGCGCTGTCGCCCTGGCCACGGGGCTCGTTCTGCAGGCTCAGGGCTAGCAGGTAGTCCAGACTGGCGCTCTGCTCTTCGGAAAGTGAAGAGATGCTGGGTTTATTCCTTGATGGTTGTTCCAGTTCATCCTCTTCAAAAGATAAATAGCACAATTTTTACAGAACACTAACCCTGCAATAAGCAGTTACCTTCTAAAATACATTAATTAGTCACACTACACTAAGAGGGTTCCACGGGTGCAGACGTGGACACTCGCTGAGTTCAGCCTTTCCAAGCCTCAGACAGGCACCCCCTGCACCAAATTTTGGAGGAAGAAGGAAGAGTCCTCCTATTTATGTTTGGAACAAAGAAAGGGAACTAGAGAAAAAGAAGTTGTTTCTTTTATGCCACAGGCTCACATAAGGCTTGAACCTGAGAACATTTGAGTATTTTACCCCAAAATACAGATATTAAGCCTAAGCTGCTAGTTAAAACAGCCATTGGCAGCTTTATGAAAGTTATATTGAGGAAAGTTCTGCAATCTACATTGTGAACATGGTCCAAATAAAATATTGTAGTCCAGGCCCTCCTCCTTACAAGGCTGAAACATTTCTGTCCTGTTTCTTCGGTGCATCAGTGGGAAAGCTTAATTCCTTTCATGATATGATATCTGAGAACTGTGGGAGTTCTATGCAGAAGAAAGCCTGAACCATTTTCTGGGAGTAAGGCTGCACTTAAAGAAAAAACAGGGTTCTGAGACAGGACCTAAGCCTGACTTAGTGATGGATAAAGAAAGCCTAAGCTTTCCTCCCATGCTGGCATATTTCAAATAGCTGGAGTACTTTATTTGTGCCAATTATATGAAAAATTTAAATAAACCCTAGACTACTTGTGAACACTCTTCTGAATTTAGTACAAATGGCCTACAAGTTACAGTTCTCCAGATTATTTAGCTTTATTAATAAAGCCAGATGTTATTTCTATAAGCAAGGCAGTCCTCTTCAGTGAAGCCTATAACTTAGTATTCTGCAGTGTTAAATCCCCTAAGCGGCCCAAACCACAAAGCAGAGCAGGCGTTTGGTGCAGAACTCATGGAAAGGGGATGTCCAAACACCACATGCCCCTCTGCATGTTGAGGTGAGAGATTAGAGGCTTAAGGGGAAAGAGCAGAGGCATTTGCAGTCTCAGCCATGTTCCAAGAGGCTTCTACAGCAGAAACGCTCAGCACCACCAGTGTGAACCCAGGTACAGATCTTACCTACCCTGTCACTTAGCTGAAGCAAAGAGCACAGCTGCTAAATAAAAACGGACAGAAGCTGCAGTGAGCAAACTACTCCAATTTCATTTTTAAACTGGCTGCCTGCTGTGATAAGAGAGCAGGCAGTGTACTAGCCTTTAACAGCAGGTATCTCAGCAATTCTCTCTTTAATTGGCTTATGTATTTGATGTTCTATTCAACAGCAGGAAAAAAGTCCCACTCACATTGCCACGGCATTTTACATTATTTGATATTTTCACATAAAACAATTATCAAGCCTTACACTGGATCATTGCCAAATGTCAGATCAGAAGCAAATTACCACCCTTATCTACATCTTACCTCGGTTCCGATTTCTTTGTCCTCCTGAAACATTTCTTCTCCTAATGTCCTTAAGTGCTTTGTCTCCGACAGAGTTGCCATAAAGCTGATTTTCAAGCATCCTGGGCATTCTCCACAGAGGCCCAGCGCAGTTATCTGATCTTAGCTGGTTTTTAATGTCTCGAAGGGAACGCAAATCCGCATCCTCATGCTCAAAGCGAGGCACAGTTTTGCCAACTCTTCCTTGCTTCCCCTCTTTCCCACAGACTCGGGGGTGCTCCTTGAGGTCTCTGACCATCACGTTTAGCCCGCACGCGCTGCACCGCTCCGTTCTAGCCCCACAGTAACTTTCGTGCTCATGGAGCTTATTGAATGCGAGCTGGAGGTCACAGTGCTGACAGACTGCAGGGCGCAGAGGGCACGCAGACGCCTAGAAAAACAGAAAATGGGATTATTCCTCACGTATCGAGGACCAATGCAAAGGTTCTCGGTTTACTTAGGAGCTGAACAGTCTATTGTTTCTCTAGCCAGATACAAAGCTACAGCAAAGAATAGTCTGAAATAAGATACTATGCGAGAAATGTAAGAACATGTTGTATAAGGTGGGTAATCATGAACACGCCTGCTGAGGTACTTGGACTATTCAGAACATTCTGTGTTGAATTACCATGCCCAGGAAAAACATAATAAAAATTAACATAGAAATAAAACATACAAAATAATAAAGAAAAACAAAGATTTTCAAGACTTTTTTTTTAATCTGTAAGGCTACAGGTTAGATCCCTTCGGTAAATGCCAGATAAGTTACATTTAAAACTTTGTAAACTTTGGAAGCCTGTAAGCATATGGTTGCCTAAAGGCATGTTAAATATATGTTGAATGGAAGATGGAGTAGGAGATCATCACTTGCTTTATAAACAAACATGCACACAGAAAAAAAAAAAAAAAGCACACTTGCAGGATAACAGATCAACTAGTGGAGTCTTACAGTAGGCATTTTCTCAAAAAAAAAAAAAATCACCTTTTTTCACCAATAAGAAGAAATTCAATTAATCATATTCTGTACTTGTGAAGTAGCACACTATTTTCCATTTTAATCACTAATAGGGACAAAAATAACCTATCATCTCAGATAATGATGCAGAGGTTTGAGCAGCTCATACCATTTTAAGGCAGTTTCCAAACAGATTTTTTCAGAGTTTATAAAGCATGGTTAAAAATGGCAAAGACATGCACAAATCACAGGCTGCTATCCAGGTCTGGGCTGACAGAAAGGCTTCAGAATCAGTGCTTGAAAATATGAGTACCTTCCAAAGGTCTATAAACACAAAATCTACCAACCTCATGATCCTCCAAGAGACTTTTTTCTATCTTCATACTGCACTTACAGGTAACCTACAACGAACACATCTCATTAGATTCACTTCCATAAAACACAGCATTTTTTTTAAACAGGCAAAATCTCTTCATTACTTGCACGTGCTCAGATTCAACGTGGTTTTTCATTTCAGTCTTTGGGATTGATTCACGGCAGTAGCAACATACTTCAATGTTTCTGCTGCAGTGGATTTCATGGATGGTGAAATTGGCAACAGGAATATCCTTTTTGCTATAAGAGAGACACAGAGGATTACTTTTCAGAAAATAGACTGACAACAATTTTGAGTAGTTTTTCAAATCCTAACAAAGTTTTCTAAGAATTCACAGTTTAGAGAACTGCCCAACTAAAGAGAAACTTAAGCCCAACAGGCCTCTATGTTCCACATCAGCACATGAATGTATGCAGCATGCAGGGGTCACATTTTTCACACTGCATAAAGATAAAAATCAAGCTGGATTCAATTCCTTATGGAAAAGGGAAACTTTGTAGTATACACAAGTTATCACCCAGTCCACGTTAATAGATCAGTTAAAAAAGAACGATAACAGTTATTATATTACTCTGCACCCCATGATCTAACTCCCTTAATTCCAAAGAAATTTATTTTCCTAACTTTGGGAGGAAGCCATGCTTAGAAACAAACAAAAACCAGGTCAATTTGAGAAAGAACGAGTGGAACCGAAGCAGTAGGAGCTTAGCCCTGTTTCTATCTCAAGCAGGGAGCATTATTTCTAGATTAACATTATCAGTTCCTCTCCCCCCTCCCCAATAAATCAACTCTCAAAACATCAAAATTAACTTTATAACCTATTTATTGCCCTTCCCTGCCACAAAGGGAAACCACCACAGATGTTTCATTTTATCCCTTGCCAGGCCCCAACAAGCCAGCAGTCTGGCAAAGCAACAAAGTCCAGCAGCACTGTCAAAACAGCACAAACTCACTTCTCGCACGCTAACCAGGCTGACATTGCAAGAAACTATTTAGATTTCAATGTTTCTCTTGGAAAATATATCAACTGCTTTAGCTGTTTGTTTCTAAAAGGAGACTTCTGAGATTAGATCATTATCAGTCAATATATTGCCAACACTAGCTTTCAAAGAAAGATATTTGTTACCAAAGAGAAACAACTGCCACATCAGTATGTACCTACTGAAGCTGTTCTTACATCTCTGCTTTTGAGCCCCACATCTGCTAAAGCACTCTGTCCTCATCTAAATGAGGCAAACAAAAACAACTCTTAATTTCTACTTAACACCTTGATTTCTCTCTACTCACATCTGAGTCAGAAGGTTGAGTAATTTGTTTGGAAAAGTAGCTTTTTAACATGCTAATACTCAGCAAGGCAAAAGCAAAACCAAGATCCTGAAAAGAAAGTATTCTCATGATTAACTCGCATTATCTGGTACTCCATAGCATTCGAAGGGAACATATATTGCTTACTCATTTGACTTCTGAGCTTATCTACAAGAAGCAGAGCAAGCAACACACAGCGTCGCTTCTGCCAAGCGCTCGGTTTCGTTTCTTACCAGTTGCCACACAGCTGGGTTTCCGGCTCCGTAACTGCAGCCATAGCCAGTTCTCTCTCCCACAACTGGAAGAGAGCACAGGGAAAGATTTTCAGTTCTCTCCTGCCGGTAACTGCAAGACGTCGCTCGCTCCCGCCGGGCCCTTTGCAGTGACACAGTAACGTCTCCCATGAGCCGCACGCTCCGCTTGCAGCGGCGGCCCTGAAAGATTCCCCTGTTACTCAGCGAGTTATTTTAATTCCGGCTTCCTGCAGCTTTGCGGAGCGCTGGGAGCCCCAGATGGAGGGAGCAGCTCAACTGCAGGGACCGTTTCCCCCGCACCGGGCCGCACGTGCGGCCTTGCAGGCTACCAAGACCCCCCTTAAGATGGAGATGGGAGGGGAAGAGGGGGGCACAGCCTGAGTCTAACACCCAAAGAGGGGCACAGGGATGGGGACCCCCTTCCCCTCAAAGACAGGAGGAGGCCTGAGGGGGGCAGGGGGCTGTCAGATGGACACCCCCTTCCTCACGAAGGGAAAAGTTTGGGGGCAGCCGCAGCTCATTGGGGTCACCCCCTTCCCCAGGGCCACGGGGGGCAGGCGCTGGGGGAAGCGACACCACCCTCCCCTCAGGCATTTGGGGGGTGGGGGGGAACCCTTTTC